GTTTTATATGTGTATATTTTTCTATCTGTATAATTTATACACATATAAAACACCACAGTATGTCCAGCATATAAATATGCTTTAGTTTTAATTCTGTAGAGTAGATATAGGTCTGCATAGGGGAGTCTAAAAAATATGTGTGTTCTTTAAATTTAAATATTGATACACTGGTTTATATATTCTTATAGATGTCTTTTAAGGGTGTATTTATATATATATATATGGTTATGCATATACAACTTTTATTTTTAAATATAGTAAATGATATATTTATACAAAAAATATTTATTTATTTTATTTATTTATTCATTTATTTTATTTATTTATTCATTAATTTTATTTATTTATCTGTTATTTTATTTATTTAATTATTTATTCTTTTATTTCTTTATTCTTTTTATTTATTTATTTATCTTTTTATTAATTTTAGTTATTAAATTTATTTATTCATTAATTTTATTTATTTATTATTTATTTTATTTATTATTTTATGTATTCTTATTTATTTATCTTTTTATTAATTTTAGTTATTTATTATTTTATTATTTTATTTATTTATTTTTCTTTTATTTATTTATTTATTCATTCATTCATTTTAAAAAAATCATTTATTTATTTATTTATTCATTTCCTGGGGGTGTCCAGGTGCCTCCTGCAGCCTTGGGAACACTCCAGCACACGGGAGAGCAAAAAATACCCCCTGGCACGAGGGATGGGGGCCACAACTCATGGTTTGCTCACCCCAGGATGACCAGGGCAGCCTGAGGTCTCACAGCTCCTGGCCCTGAGAAGGAACCAGATATCCAACAGCACCCAGAAATTCCATACTGGAGAAAACGTGGCTTCCTGCCCTTTCCCCATGACCCAGCCCACAGTATTTAACCTAAAGATTGGAGTATCCCAGGAAAAAGCCCCGAGCTGCAGGACCTTGGAGCACCAAAGAGGCTTCGGGCCAGGATTGAAAATTCCAGGGTTTCGTGCCCCTGAACACCAGGGCCTTGAGGAGCTTGAGCTGGGCAGGGTTAATTAATGCAAACGAAACAAATGAGCCTGGGGAAGCCGTGGAAAAGGGCCACGGAGCTGCGGACTGAGAACTGTTCCAAGTGGCAGACGTGACACGTGGGGAGGGATCGCTCCGGCCCGAAGGTGGTGGGAGATTGGAGCGGGGACAGGACACAGTGGACTTGGCAGGACTGAACATGGATGACAAGGAAGAGTTATTGTTTTATGACGAATGAAATAACCACGGAATCCGAAGACAAATAATGCTTTGTTTTGGAGGAGCTTCCTGGTTCCTGCTGTTCCTGACCCGGCGGAGCTTTGGGTGCCGAGGTCTCACCCAGGTGAGGGTGGGGAAGGGCGAGGGCTGAGCTCCCTCTGTCAACGCTGCAGGTGAAAGGACAAGAGGACACAGCCCCAGGATGTGCCAGGAGAGGTTCAGGTTGGATATTAGAGGGAATTTCCTCATGGAAAAGGGTGCTCAGGCACTGGAAGGGGCTGCCCAGGGAGGTTTGGAGTCCCCACCCCTGGAGGTGCCCAAGGAATGACTGGACGTGGCACTCAGTGCTCTGGGCTGGGGGACAAGGTGGGGACGGGGCACAGGGGGGACTCCATGGTCATGGAGATCTTTTCCAGCCTCAGTGATCCTGGGATTCTGTGCCAGTCGGACAGGTGAGACCGTTCACCTTCAGAGCACCGTCCGTCCACCACGATGGATCTGCAAACACAGAGGATTCATGGATGTCACTAAACCAACAGGCCAGAGACTCTTGGTGTCCCTGGAGCCAAATGACCCAGCTTGGCTCCCATCCCTGTCACTTCTCCCTCAACTGCAGCCACATCCAGGCTTTTTGCTGGGAATAGTCTCCGCCCTGGGCCATCCTTGGACCAGTTCTAGGTGGTGTTCGAAGGGCTGCACGTCTGACACGGGCCAAGGTGTGTGTCAGAGGAGAGCGGGATGTTCAGACCTGTGTCCTGGCTCTGTTACCCACTGCACAGGGAGCACGGGAATCAAATCCATAGCCCAGGGCTCCAACATTTACCTCATCAGTCACCCTATCCCAAGAGAAGGCAGGCTCCAAGGGGATAGGGAATATGGCTCACAGTGGATCTCTGCTGGAATCAAGGAGCTTAACGTTTGTATTAAAATTAACTGAAAAAAGATCTCTGTGTGCCCCTCCAACTCCTTTAAAACGCTTCTGCAGAGTCTACCAGGGAATAGCACGGCTCTTCCCTGCTCCAGTGGCTCCGGGGAGGCTGCAAAGAGGGACAGCAGTGGGAGGAAAGCAGAATTCCTTTGTGAAGACTCACCAGGGAGCTCTGCCCGGACACTCACAGCTGTGGTCTCCAACTGCTCCCTGCTCAGCTCTTGCAGAACATTCTGTTGAGGCTTTCCAAGAGCAGAGATGTTTTGGGAGATGGTCAGCCAGAGGCAAAGTGGATCCAGTGGGAATCCTAAACACTTCAGTGGGGTAGGTTGGGGAGGTACAAACATGACGATGGTGCCTTTTTCCCTGCAGGCATAAAAGGAATGTTAAAAGCAGCTCTCACCCTGCTGAGTGTCAGGTGTGGGTTTCCAACACCAGGGAATGGGATCAGGGAGATGAGAGGGGCCCAAACCCCCAACAAACAACAGGTCCCAGGATGCTGAGAGTGTTGGTTGGGCCTCCTCGTGTAACCCTGTGCCCTGGTTGGCATCCAGCAGTGGGTTCCTGGTCCCCCAGGCTCGTGGCACAGCCCAGCAACAGCAGGGCAGAAAGATGCAGCCATTAAAAACCAATTTATCAATCCAGAGCCCTTGGATGTCAACAGGGAGACTGGGATGGGAGCCCTGAGCACCAGAAATCCCCCAAAACCTGCATCCCCTCAAACCCCTGGAGTGGGCAAGACCTCATCCCCACTGTCTCTCCCCAGACTGCCCCCATGGGCTCTGTCTGTATTATCCCACAGATCCTGTGCCTTTTCCAGGATTTCAGGCCCTCATGGAGGGCAACACCACCCCTTGGCACGGGTCTGGCTCTTTGGGGAGCCTAAACCAGTAACCCCACTGCTGCTCCCTAGACATTCCAGCCCCCAGGAGAGAGGCAGGGAGTGGTGCAGGAAGGTTGGGAGCTGTTTGTATTCCTAAGAAAGTGGTATTTCCCTCTGGAGAACATGGAAAAACACCCCAACAGCTACTCATGCCGCACGCAGAGCTGAACCACCCTTGTTCACACATAGCACTGAAGTGATCCAGAGTTCTTCCCGGTTATTTTTTGGGAATCAGCAATGGTGTGTGTCTCCAACATGCCCAAATATATCCAGAAATTCAACAAAGAACTGTGTTTCCTAAGAAAACTTGTGCTCCCTTCCCTGCTCCCAGTCCAACACACAGTGCTCTGCTCCCCCGAGCTGTCCCTGTCCTGCCCATTCCTTGAAATCATCAACTCTTTTCCCAGGTCAAGAGCCAAGATCCCACATTTCTCAGGATTTAGTAATCGCCATGTGATGGTGTCAGGGTTGGGTTGCAGAGACTGCAGAAAAAAAAAAGCAACACCTCCAAAATCCATCTTGGCACAAAAAAATCCCAACAGATCCGGGTCCTTAAACTGAACAAAAGCTCCTTGGGAATGTGGAGACATCCCTGGTGGGTGAGGTGAGGGAGGGCCTGGCCTTAAAAGGGACCATTCCTGGTGCACAGGCAACCGGGATGTGGCCAACAGGAACATTTTCCTGTGCTGGGCTTGGATAGAGGAGCGGAAAAGAGGGAGCAACCACACTCCTGACTCCGGGAATGTGCTTTTCTCGGCCTCACAGAACCAGGGGCACCCTTTGCTCTCATGCCATGACTTTGAGAACCTGCTGTAAAACCCAGCCAGGAGCGTGGAGGGCAAAGCAGAGCGTGCTGGGGCATTCCAGGGGCAGCTCCAACGCTGCCCAAGGCCCTTCCATCACCCCAAACCTCCACCCCCAACAGGGAGGAGATAAGAGATTCCCTGCTAATGGCTTTCCACATAAATAGGAGGACCTGCCCCCTCAACCAGTTTACTCAGTGCACTGACCCCCTGGCTGGGGTCGCGGGGAAGCTGTGGGAGGTCCCCAAGTTTTATAAATGAGAGGCTTTCCCTGCCCAGACAGGGCCCAGGAGGCACCCAGGGGCTGGAGACACTGATGGATGGTGCCAAGGGGGTTTGTTGGAGGGGAGCAGCGCCGGGGAGGGATTTACCAAGAGATTTATCAGCTCAGGTGGATTAAGGGGGATTTGTCAGTTGTCTGCTGTCGGTCTCCACCCCCAAAAAATAACCCTCAAACAATGGCCAAGGGCTGAAAAACGTTCAGGATGGGGGCAGGAGACAAAATTACAGTTGTTTCCGTGAGGTTTGGTGAGTTGAGGCTCAAATGTGGGGTCCAGGCACCCCAATAAGGGCTGGTGGGGGTGAGGAGTGGGTGAGGCAGAGGTGACCTCCGGCAGCAGCTTTCCATCCCCTCCACAGCACATCCCACCAGCTCCCCGAGCTCCCTCAGGGCTCACGTTTGAGCCCCTGGCAGGGACCCCCCGAGGTCTCAGGGGCTGCAAAGACACGTCCCAGCCTCCCCCAGGGGTGAGATCACGACCCAAAACAGAGAAGAGGAAGGCTGGGACTTACCAGACACCAGCCACACCTTCCCAAAGCATCCTTTGGATGAGCTGCTCCCTGGAGATTCCGAGTGTCCGGCTGCACACTCAGCTTGCCAGGAGAAAGCAGATTTGGGCAGTGACCCTCTGTAAACACAACATCTATTTTTTTTTTCCCCCAAGAAAAGCCAAGGGAAGGGTCTGGAAGGGGAAAATGGGACAGACAAGCAGCTTCCTGAGATCTCATTTGGAGCCAACCAGGGGGCTCCGCTTCATTTATTTCAAGACACTTCATCCCGAAATAAATTAATTCACTGCAGCAAATTGGGCTGTTTTCCTGTTTATTTTTTTAATTGTTCCACGCTGTCCTCGAGTTTCTCAGCAGAACTGGCTTCCAACCCCCAAACTGGGAAATGTTCCTCTTGCAAATGGAAAATACAAACATTTCCAGTGTGGCCATGCAGGGTTTTTTTTTTTCCTCCCTTGCTCTCTAAAATCTTTCTGCACTGAGAAATCCATCTGCAGTTTGGCTGCAGAAAAATGGGTTCAAACTGGCCTTGCTGATAACAAACTCCTGAAGCTCGAGGTGCCTGCTCCAAGATTTCCAGATCACCTCCTTCTAGAGCCTCTGGGAAACACTCTGTAGGATCAGAAGGTTGGAAAAGACCTCCAAGATCCCCAAGCCCAAGCAGGGTTTGTGCCAGGGATGGGGCAAAATTCAGGACACACACACGAGGTCTAAAAAGCAGCCCATTTTCCCAGTGTTTGGCCACTGCTGGGTGGGAGGGAGGAATGTGGCCAGGAGGACACGTGGAGCTGCTTTGGCCAGCAAAAATACAAGGTGGCCACCTCACTTCTTGTCCTGGTTAGAACAGGTGGGACCAGTTCATCACTGCATGGCTGTAACCCAAAACTGTGCATTCTACAGCCTTCCATGCCATTGCCCAGAAACTGTTCTCAACAGACCATTTACACCCTCTGCCCAGAGCAGCCCTGACTCCTCAGGCCATAAACTGGGTGTTCGGAGGCCTGGGAGATAGGAGGGTGCTCCTGTCCTCACACCCAGAGTGGAACTCCCCGCCCTGAGGGAGGCACTGGGCATTCCTGCCTGAACTGGAGGATAATCTTGGAGTCTGGGGACTTTTTTAACCACTCGTGGGATCCAGAGAAGGACTGAGACCACCACTCTCAACCAGACTGCACCACCACTCTCACCAACAGGTTTTTCCCCTCTCCTTTCACTTTGGACTCAGGGGGCCCAACGAACACCACTCTGTTCATGCCCCAGGGTGCTGGGATGTACATTTGGGTTTTGGGGGTTAAAACCAACTGTTTGTCTGTATAATCGTACTTATTGTATTATTTTATGAAATTGTTATTCTGACTTATAACCTCTCCTTTGAGTTGGGTTCATTTCCCCTGCCGGTTCACCTTTAAACCAGCACATTTCTCCCCCTCATGGAACATCCTGAGCAGGGAGGGACCCACGAGGATCAACAAGTCCAACTGCTGGCCCGGCCCAGCCAACGATCCCACCCCGGGATTCCACGGGCCACCCCGGCTCTGAGCCAGGCTTCCAGCCCAAACTGGGCCCTGCCTGGGCTCCCTCCCGAGGACCACACTCCGGAGGAAGGCTCAGCTGGTTCCCATCCCCGTCCTGCCCCCGATGAGCTCCAGATGTGGGGTGGGTGTTCCGGGACGCTCCGGGGGGGAGGTGGAGGCAGCTCGAGCTGCTGCTGCTGCTGCTTTTATCTCCTTCCCTTTGTTTATGAAGAGAAGATCAGCCCGTGGCTGCCAACAATTTACTCTGGCGAGGGCACCCCTCCAGAAACACTTTTACTGTGAACAGGGATCCCCTTCCATCGGCTCCAGATGGAGACCCAAAAGGGGCCACTAAATTCTGGGGGAGTTGGAGCCCACCCTGGTGTCTCCCAGTGGGAGCAAGGACAGCACAGCCCACTCTGCTCAACCAGCTTCCCACAGGTTTCTCCTCCTCGGGCACGGAGGGTCCAGCTGGATCTGGGACACCCCAAGGGCTGTAACATCCCGTGAGTCCCAACCCAAGTGGGATGCAAAGCCCAAAAATCCTCTTGGTGTGAGGGTGGGGAGGCCCTGGCACAGGTTGTCCAGAAAAGTCCCATCCCTGGAAGTGTCCAAGGCCAGGCTGGAGCAACCTGGGATGGTGGAAAATGTCCCTGCCCGTGGCAAGGAGTGGGAAGAGATGAATTTAAGGTCCCTCCCAGCCCAAACCATGCTGTGATTCCCTGCTTAAAACGAGCTGCAAGAGGCTTTTCCCCATGAACCCACTTCACAGAGCTCAAAAGGCGCCGCTGTGGCAGCCACGGGGAAAAGGGAGTCAAAATTGGTTATTCCAGAGCAAAACTTCCCCTGCCAGCAGAACCCTGAGGCTGGAGAGGTGCCCTTGGGCAGGGAGCTCACCTGTGCCGTGGTGCTGTCCATGGATGTCCTGCTCCTGGAGAGCTCTGCTGGATTTGGGAGGCCAAAAACTGGAAGAAGCTGAAGCCCCATTTCCCAGCAAGATGGAGTTGGTGTTTTCCCTCCCAGGCCTGCTGGTAGAAAACCGAGTTAAGAGCAGCCAGCATCTGCTCAGGGTTATTTATTGCTTTTAGGAGGCGAGTTTTTATTGGGGATTATTTTTGTCTTCTCTTATTTTTGGTGCCTGAGTTATGGAAACATCCTGGATGCACCAGCACCCCCTCGGAGAGGCGTCAAACGTTTGCCAGGCAAAGGCAGCTTTGGCAGGAGCCTCCCTGCTCCATGAGCATCCTCCCAGGCTGGATCACAGAGATCTCTGCCACCAGCCCAGTTTGACACCGACCTGGAGTGCCAGGACGAGGGGGAATGGCTTCCCACTGCCAGAGGGCATGATTAGTGGGATACTGGGAAGGAATTCTTCCCTGGGAGGGTGGGCAGGCCCTGGCACAGGTTGCCCAGAGAAGCTGTGGCTGCTTCATCCCTGGAGGTGTCCAAGCCCAGGTTGGACAGGGCTTGGAGCACCCTCATGGCAGGGACACAGTGGCACGTCCAGGTCATCTCCCAGTGCCCAAAACACCCTCTGTCCCATCCTCCTCACAGAGCCATTTCCCCTTTACTTTATCAATCCAAACACTGAGGATTCCAACCCCCTAGATCAGCCCTAATTCCCTTTTCCAGTGCTGCAGCACTGCAGGGAATGAGCTGGGCCAGGAGCTCCCCCTTTCCCAGGAGACCAGGCCAATTTTTTTTTATTTTTTTTTTTTAATACTCACTCTTCTTTACTGTGACTCTGCCAAGAAGGTGCTCGGGGTTTTATGAGCCCCACGCGAGTCCATCTGCCCAGGGAGTTGATTCAGGGCAGCTCCTTGCACGGGCTGGCACAACCCCAAACCCTTCTGATTCCAGCCTGGCTGTTTGGAAAGGGATTAAGGCAGAAATTAGAGCAGCAAGGAGAGCCTGGTCTAGCAAGGAGAGCCTGGTCTAGCAAGGAGAGCCTGGTCTAGCAAGGAGAGCCCGGTCTAGCAGACCCATGGCAGGGTTGTGGAACGAGATGAGCTTTAAGGACCCTTCCAACCCAAACCATTCCAGGATTTTATGATCCTGACTCTGTCAAGAACTCCCTGTAGTCAGCAGTGCCTCTGCACCAAACCTGGGAGAAGCTCCCAAGGACACCAGACCCTCAAGGGTCACGTCTTACTGGGGTGTAAAGATTTGGGTAACTCTGAGCAGAACACAGCTCATGGTGTCTCTCCTTTCCCACTATTTTCCCCCTCCCTGGAAAATGTCAAAGAGGGAGCAGTCACAAACAACCCTGTCTTCACACTGTGCTGTTCACAGGGCTGTGGTTTGGGGCTGGTTTGGGTTTTTTTCTTCCAGGTTGGGGGATGCAGTGATTTTGCAAAATGTGGCACAAGCCTATGGACAGGGAAGTTGGTTTACCCCTTAAAAACTCCTTCCAGGCCAAGTTGGACACCCAGTCTAATGGGAGATGTCCTTGCCCCTGGACAAGGAAGTTGTTTTACCCCTTAAAAATTCCTTCCAGGCCAGGTTGGACACCAGGTCTAGTGGGAGGTGTCCCTGCCCTGGCAGGGGGTGGGACTGGATGAGCTTTAAGGTCCCTCCAACCCAAATCATTCCACGATTCTGTGGTTCAATGGCCACATCTCCAGTGGGAATAAAACATCACGAGCTCTGTGGGCTGCAGAGTCCTCCAGGAGGCACCGAATTCCTCCCCCAAAAAACAATCTCCCTTTCCCCTCGAGTCCATCAGCTGGCTCCTCTGGTAACATTCTCCCTCACGTGTCATCAGGAAGGAATTTGGGCCCTGTTTGACGATCAGAGAGGGATCAGGATCACAGTTCTCCCACCACAAAGCACGTCAGCAGGTCTTTCCAGCCTCCCTCGCTCTGTGTAGGCCGGCCAAGGACCTGCTCCTTCCCGGGCATCCCCGGCCCCCACTCATCAATCAAAGCATTCCTGGTTTCCTCTCAGTGTCCATCAACACTCACAGAGGTTTCTTCTTCAAAAAAATTTCATCTGGGCAATTGTTCAAAAATGTTACAATTACCTGCTCCTTTTAAGCTCTGATGACGGCCCGCGGAGCCGTAATTTGAGCCAGACCTGCAGACGTCTGGTTTAAGGTTAAAAAGTCCTCCAAGCTGAGCTTCAGCCAGCAGAGCCACGAAAAATCAACTTGCCCCGTGTTAATTTTGGGTTCCCCTCGTTAATGAAGCTGTGGAGGAGCCCCCATGGGGGTCTGGCTTTGTGTTATCCCAACTTCACACGCTCGGTGCAAGGATTCATGGAAGCAGATCCCAAGGAGGAGTTAAAATTCCAGAGTCATTAAGGCTGGAAAAGAGCTTTAAAATCTTTGAGTCCAACCATCAAACCCAGCACCACCACCATGGTCACCATTAACCCACGTCCTCAAGTGCCACATCCACACATTTTTTGGACATTCCCAGGGATGGGGATTCCACCACTGCCCTGGGCAACCTGTTCCAGGGCTTTACAACCCTTTCCATGAAGAGTCCTGCACACAAACCACCCACAGCAGGGGGGGAAATCAGCACTTAAATATTTCAAATGGGAATAAACAAAGATCTTTTCTCCCAGATATTAATTTTGTTAAGGTTAGGGTTGCTTCCTTCTCCCTCACAGACACCCACTGAGGATTCATACTCCCCCAAGTCCCAAAAAACCCCCAAAGTTCACCTGCCCTAAAACCCCTTGGGCTCCCACTGCAGCACCTTCCCCCCAGCAGGGAGGTTTTGGGGCATTAAAATGGATTTTTAACCCTGAAGGGGAAAATCCCCAAGGAAAGGAGGATGTAGAGAGGTCAGGAATGTAGGTCGCTCCAAAACAGGATTAGACATTTCTGAGGATGTCAGGAACAGCTAAATCCCATACAATTAATGATCATCAGCCTGGCTGGGACGGAACCCAAGGGATGCAAGACTCCTGGAAATGTTGCTGGAGAGCAGGACAAGAGCAGGAGCAGCATCATTACTGAATATCCCGAGTTGGAGGGGATCCACAAGGATCTCGAGCCCAACTCCGGGCCCTGCACAGGACAGGAGCATCTCCCCCTCTCTCCACACACAGTGGGAATGTTCTGGTGGGATTCCAGCTCTATCCCAGCTCAGAGACTTCTGTGGGAGCAGAGAGAAGAGAAAGGAAAGGGCTGCATGAGCTGGGAGAGCCAGGGCAGGACAAGTGGTGGAGTCACCAGGCCTGGAATTGTTCCAAAAAGGGGCGGATGTGGCACTTCACGAAATAATTCAGGCAAGGGGGGGGTGTTTGGGCTTGATGATCTTGGAGGTCTTTTCCAACCTTAAAGGTTCTGTGATTCCCTGTGAAGGAAATACCCACCTTTTGTGGGTATTTGTAGCCCAGGCACCTCAGAACTTCAGAGCAAGGAGCCAAACGTGCCTCCACGCCCGGGCGATTTATTCCAGCGGTTTCATGGGAATTCCCACTGGCTTTTAGCAGCAGCTCACAACCACTCAGCCAGGACTCACTCCTTACCTGTGACAGTTCAGCAGGGAGGGGGGGAACACCCCCAGCACCCAGCAGTGCCATGGAGGGAGCACATCCAGAGCCTCCAGCAGGTCCCTGATCGCTCCCAGGTGGGTGCCACGGAGCCGGAGCTGGGAGTGATTCCAGGCTGGGAATGGGAGCCAGCATCTCCCTGCAAGCAGATGTCCCAGAGGGGAACATTAGAGCCTTCAGTTACCCAATTAAAAGCATGTTGGAGGGGGATTTGATTGCTTGGTTTGACAGGGAGAGGAAAACCCTCCGGGTCCTGGCAGGGACGAGGATTTACGAGTTGCTTCGGGTCGCTCTGCCTGGTCTTGGTATGTAGCAAAGGAGCAACAAAACCCCCCCAAAAAGCAAGGAGGGATGGTGTCTGCATTCCTGCTGCTTGAATCAGATGTCTTTCCTGGCAGCTCCAGTCCCTCCCAGCTCCAGGGACTCTGGGGAGGGGCAGCAGTCGATGCACTGGAGCAGGTCTGACATCTGGCACCGAGGGCTGCCCGTGGGCCACATCCTCCCCCTCAGAGGTGGAAATGATTCCCTGTCACTTGTGAAC